TCAACGAAACTTGAAGAACTATTCAACTGGCTCTAATGTTGCCAACCATGCCTGGCAAAACAATCACTCCATTGATTTCAACAATGCCTGTGTCATTGACAAAGGCAATTACCGCGTTCGAAAAACACTAGAATCTTGGCACACAGCAAAAACCGTCGACGCGGATAACAACTCAAAACCGTTGCCTAGGCAATACTCTATTTTATTGTAATCAGGCCTCATTTACATTTTTATCTTCTTGCTTTTTTCACGCTTGTTTTTATTCTCAATTTTTCGCACCCCATTCGTATATATTTTCGCTTGCGCACCAGATTTTTCATTCGTTAAAGGCTATAGACTGATAGCCGAAAGCTTATGTTTTTAATATATTTTTAACTAGAGAACGTTCTTATTCCAATATACCCAACCCATGTTTGTGAGCTCAAATTCCAAAAGAAAAAACCACAGCTTATCAACCAACAATGTGTTGTCTACTTCTTGTAATGTGGCCTGTAGCTGCCTGACATGGGCTGGCAGCACACAAGCAGAATTCATGGTCTGTCTATAAACATTTTCCAAATGAGCATGCAAGAGGTACCCTGAAAACCTACTCAGTGTTTCCAAGGTCTATAAGAAATGAATAAATATAAGTCTGAACCCTAACTCTAATCTTAACCCTAACCCTAACCCTAAGACTCAGTTAAGGCTAAGGTACATGTATTTGATGTGTAGTTTGGCTTAACTCACTCTGTCCTAGCCTTATGCAAATTTTGGTGGACTACATGTATATCTAACACTACAGAATTTTGATTACTTACCCTGACAATGGCATCACTGTGGCCCCTAAACATCAGTTTTTATCATTTGTTTAGTTTTTGCTTGACATTGGACATCAGAATAACCACCAAAAATAAAAATTAATAAAAACTTTCTATTGCTAATGTGACTATGAAAACTTACTTTGAATCATTCAATGTCCACTTGCAGTGAAGACATATTTTTTCTATCCCCTAACAAGAAAATAATATTACATATCATTTTTATTCAAGGTTACATACAGTGAAGATAGCAATAATAATTATTGCAAAGTTTGTTAATGTTTGAAAAGACTTTTTGTTTCCCAATCAAATAAAGCCTTACAACATTGCAAAATTCATTGAATGACTAACTTTGGCATGGTGTGCCTCCCCTTTCATCAGCAGAGGACATGAATACCCTTCTCCTGCTCAAATGACTTAGTGGTACTACTAGCTTTCTAAAGATTATCTTTAAAAAGGATTTAAAGTTCCTGCTTTGCTACACTTGCATTGGACAAGGAGGGTGAACACTACATATTAAGGAGTCAATGGGGTTACCTGTTTAGCATGTAATGATGTTTTTTTGCTATTGTAACCATAAAAACAACAAAATATGCACTGATTAATGTATAAAAGATGATCCACTTTGAGCATATGCAGTACTTAACGGCCAAAGGGTGTTGCATTTCCGTGAAAAATAACAACATATTTAGGATACAAATGTAAATTTTAGTTCACTTTGACCTCATCTGACACTTCTGGAAAACTTCGATACCATAATACTATGCTTCTCACAGCTTCAGGATTGGGACAGCTGCAACTGCAACAGAGGCCAGTTTATTCAGACATTGGGATGGTGGTCTAGCAACTGCTTCACACTCTACATCAGAACCTCGCCATCCATTCTTCAGAGAGTACCTACAGGTACAGTAGTCTACTAGTCACTGCTAGCACCTCAGTACAGAGCATCTGGAACCCACAGGAAGGACACTGCACTGCTCCAACTACTTAGCTTTATATTGCCTTAAACAGGCGGTATTTGGGAGTTGATTTGAGTACACCTGCCATGTAGCAGTGCATGTAGCAGGCTGGGTGGGAACCTTGACCCACCGTAGCTTCTAGTTACTAGCCAGGTGTAGCATGTGCCACACTTGTTAGCTCAACCATTACCTGTGGGGTGTGTTGCTACCACATTTATTACCATTACTTTGCACGGTGTGTTGCCACCACCCCTATTTCATTCCCAGGGAGCACCCAACAACCTTAGTCTCATCTATTGCCAAACAATCATGTAGTTTCTTCTGTTCCAAGTAGACTTAACAAGCAAAAAAAGTTGTTAAGTTAACATAATTGTAAAAAAAAAATTCAGAAACTGATTTCATTTCAATCGTGACTTATTTTGCGAATGGGGGTCATCTAATGCTCATTTAACAACCATAAAATCATACAACTACAAACTGGCTAATCTCCTTTTTTACTGCTTACCGCCTAAATACATTATTTCTAAAAGTTTACTGAATAATGGCTTATTTTTAGCTGTTTACTGACTAGGGCTATACCCCATTGACACCCTCATGTATGCAACAAGTACCCATGGCATAGATAATTAGTAAAATATTAACTGCTCAAAAGTAAGTTACCACCTGTCGTCTTGTTTCTCGTGAGACAAGGGTCTCATCTCGAGAGGAGAGAGTCTTGTCTCACAACAGCCAGTTAGCTTGCGCGAAAACAATTGATTTCTCATGACACCGTGAAGTTTACCCTGCGAGAGCATCAAGTTTTTCTGGCTCTTGTTTTACACGCTACTTCAAGAGAAAAAAACTTATACACATGTACTTGCAAGCAAAACATTTAATAAATGGAAGTAATAAAAAATGAACAACAAAAACACAGGCAAAAACTCGCATTCAGCAGTCGTTTTATTTTTTTCCTCGTAGCCCATTGACTTTGCATAAATATGAACGACAGCTTTTGATTGGAAACTTGCTTCACAAGACCCAACACTATCATTGCAAATGAAGAAACTGAATGGAAACAATTTTTATAATCTCTCAAATCAAGACCTTAGTTGAAGTGCTTGAGTAATCGATGAGTAAAGTGCAAATTGAGTGCAGATTATTTTTAGTCCACAGCCAAGTGAATTTGCATATGTGTGCATGTCTTTTAACTCTCTTGTTTTCATGAAAACATTTGATTGCAAACAATATTAAAAATTAACATACCATTGGAAAGAGAACTTTGGTAAATCTGCACAGTGAGTGAGGAAGTGAATTTTGATGACACAACAAATTGAAAATGTGTCATGATACTACACGTTGTGTGATAATAAATGCACATGAATTAGAAAGATGTGTTCAAAGAGTAAAATGGAATGTGAAATGGAACACAGTTAGGACATCAGTTTGAATACTGAAAGTTGTGTTGATTATAATTCACTTGTTGAAGGTGCTTACCAAGAAAGATAAAGTCTGTCGAGCCATTGATGCAAAGATTACAATCTTTTGGTCATATTAGTTGTGTTGATGCTGAATTCGCCTAGCCTTCAAGTTAAACAAAGACTGCTGATTGATCGATAGAAGGCTTTTGGAGAACCCTAAAAGAAAAGAAGCGTTTTAAAAATGAAATGGCTTTGTAGAAGTTTTAATAGCAAATGCTGCAAGATAAGCTGTGTCACAGAATGCACTTACCAGCAGTGTTAACAACACCCGTCAATCATCCATCAAAAACAACAATTTGGTCCACAGCTTTGAAAATTGTGAACCACTCAAAAACCAAAAATGGTCTATTTTGCTTTTAATCATGACAATGTGAACTCTTTTCAACAATACTTTCCTTCATGTATACAGATGATTCTAAATTAAAAGGACCTACTAAAGTGAAGTTAATGACTTCATTAATCACAACATTCGCTTGGCAAAAGAAGCTGCTACAATCAATCAGGAAAAGAAGAAATTTCAGCATACATGTACAGGTGTAAACACTGTGCAGGTGATAAACAATACATTTTTGCTTTAAAACAGAAAAATTTGCAGCATATTCACAGATACCACTCTCAAGCCACGTGTAGAGTTGAAAATAACAAGAGTAATGTTACATCTTTTATAAGCATGGCAAACAACAGAGTTCTGTGGCCAGTGCTCACAAGCAAAGCTTCACCAGAGTGCGCAAAGTTTTGCTGTTGCTGCATGTTTGCTTTCCACTAGGCTATTAAAATTTCGCGAGAAGTTCAAGTAGCCATACTTACAGCTTTTTAAAGCTCTCACAGGATATCTCGTCTGAGGTGGTAACTTACTTTTTGAGTGCTTGGTGCTGTATAAAGATCTCCAATGTGTAAGCAGTAACCATGGCATAGATAATTAGCAAAATATAAACAACTGCACATGTCACACCTCAAATCTGTATACTGTTGAGTTTGAAACATGTAAAGGTCACACTTTTCTTTAGATGCTTTTGATGACCAGTTTTTGACAGGAAAGAAGATGAAAGGTGGGTTCTTACTTTGAGCAGCATTGTACTTCATAAATTTTCTTTTCACACCTACATGCTAATTCATAAAAGATGCTATCGGGTGTTCAGTGTGACAATGTGTTCTCCTCAGTTACAAAGGCTGACAGAAACTAAGGAAATTAAGTATGCCAGTCACAGAGAGGTCAACCTAACCAAATCCAAAACAATAAGTTTACCAATTTTGCATAAAGGTGCACCTCTTGTTGACCCCAGAAAGGCAAACCAAAATAAGCTTAGCCATTGCAGTGCTAAGAATCACTTCATGGGTGAATTGCATCAACTACAGGCAAGTTCACTTGTAACTTCAACGGTCCTTCAAGGATGCTCAGCTATAACAGGTGCTACGTGTTAAAGTGCCACTATGATCAAATTCTCGATACTCAATTTTTTACATTATCATACACAATAGGTCTTTCCTAGATATCTTGGCAAATTTCAATCTATTATAAACACTAGAACTCATGTTTTTTGGACCTTTATTTCCACGAATTTACAGTCGCCATTAATTTTCCTCGTTCGAAGTCTTGGTTGAGAATTGGAGAAAATGACGTCATTTCCTCAAAAATACCACACAGGTTGAAATTATGATAACAATCAGTACAGCAATTCGCGTAAAGAATAACAAAAACTTTGGCTCATATATTTGTGCAATTTTTTACATTAATTGTCATTATAATTTCAACCAGTGCGGTATTTTTAAGAAAATGACATCATTTTCTCAAATTCTCAACCAAGACTTGGAACAAGGAAATTAATGGAGACCGTAAATTCTCAGAAATAAAGGTCCAAAAACCGCGAGTTATAATGCTCATAATGGGTTGAAATTTAGCAAGATATCTAGGAAAGACCTGTTGTGTACGAAAATGTAAAAAAATGGATATAGAGAATTTCATCATAGTGGCACTTTAAGGACATTATTGGTAGCCCTGAGAGTGATAATAGATACTTCATATACTTTCTTTCATATCATATCACTAGAGATTTGACAACTCTTTGGTAAACAGGAGATTTGATCTGGGCAACACACTTCTTGATTAACCAAAAGAGTTGGCACATGGATAATTAGAAGGTCACTTACAATTTTTAATCCATTGTTTAATCTTATCTTGATGCCACTTGCAGCAAATAAACCAAGTGTATCAAGTGTCAGATCCAAGTGTAAGAAAAATTGTGCAAATATCTCAACAAGCCAGGCAAAAAACCTAGGAAAGGATGAAATACACATATCAGGTTGTGGCATTTTGATAGTCATACACGTTAACACTAACTCAAAAATTATCAGAAATACCCCCAGTCTAATTTTGCAACTCACTGTTATTGCCGCTAAAATGGAACACCAGCCAAAGGCCATTACAGAGCAGTTGTGATTTATGGTATGAATCATGTCTTTTCTCTACATGCACACGAAAACCCATCCGAACCCCAAATTTTTTGAGCCTACATTTTCTTTCTTTGCATATTTCTTTTGAACTAGCCTTTTCAAGCCCCATCCTAGTATCATCTACATGTAGTGTGGCACAGATCATGTGGGCAATGTTAACATCTATATCCAATGAGCGCTGATATTTGACAACTTGCTCAGTGTCGCATCAGTGAGATTTTTTGGGGTGTCATTCAGAATTCTAAGTGATGCAGGCAGGCTCTTTTTTCCTTTTCTCCTTAAATTATACTTTCTTTCCCCACAATGAGTCTGCTTACAGGCTAGGGAACAGGTTTGAACCTGGGATGGGCTGAATGACTGTTTCCTTAGTGTGTATCAAAAAGTGCAAAAAGGCAAAATTTCTCCCAAGACTTTTGTTCACAATCGTTGGTGACCATTTAATGGCCATTTGGAAAGTCTAAATGATGACCAAGATCGCTTGATAGAGGAGACAAGTCAACAGACCTTTAGGCTTGGGTGGTTTGTTTTCTAATAACAGGCTATGTGATATTCTCTATAGATATTGTTCTTTTATCCATCTAAAAAATATTCATTCATATCCACGCGACTACTTGAAAATTTGAAAGCCAGAATTCTCAAGAGTATCAGCAGCAGGTCTGAAATGAAGGAACAAGCCGCCCAAACTAAAAAGGTCTATAAAGGCCCGGATAAATACTATGAATCTGTCAAGCGCTTTCACAGAACTTTAAAAACTGCAAATGACTGTAATAACTGTTCTGATTTGAAAACGGCATTCTGCAGTAAAACCTAACAAAGTCGGAACCTGTCAAATGTAACGCAATTTTCAGTAAACTTTACAAAGCTGTGAAGGCAACAGAATCACCAGACACTACCTACCTTCCAAAGAAGATGGTTACCAACAGCGCCAGAATAACTATTCCCACTATATAGACAAGTATCATGGTAAAGCGTGACTGAAACACTTCATTTCCTTTGCCAAAATCAATCAATCTCTCTCTCTTGCAGAACCTGAACCTCCGAAGTTGCTTCTGTGGGGTAAATACTTCATGTGAGGAAGGGAGACTACATGTTGGCTTGACATGAAGTACGTAGTGAGAATACTTGAATGCTAAATCCGACCGCTCAGAAGGACAACCGAGGAGTATTAGGAGCGAGTTCCGAGTCGAGCAGTTTTCGGAAATTGTCGGCTATTCCAATATGGCGAACTATAGCAATCACATAATATGCGAATTGCCAGTGGTAAAACTATGTTGATCAACAAGACAAGTACGTTTTTATCTACCTGACATAATAAGAATAATGAGTAGAGAGTAAAGCAGTGAATTTGACAAATGCTGTGTATTTCTTTAGGTCTCTTCCCGTCTAGTTCGTGAACCACAAATTTGGATAACACTTAAGACGTCTTTGACTTAAGCACAAGAGTTTTAAAATATGTCATTCCTTGAGGACGAATTTTTTTTGTTGAGCTCTTGATTCGGTGGATCCCATATTCATAATGATATGGGAGACTATATAGGTACATTTTGCAGGGCGCAGGTTGCAGGTTGCAGGTTGAAATTTAATTATAACTGGAAAACCGCTGGCACTCAAAAAGAAACGTGTAGGTGGTAGACTTACCGTGACCGTTACATGACGCTGTTTACAATCGCTCAGAAGGGTGGTTTCCACCTGAGTGCTAAACCCGCCGAAGCGATGGAAGGAGAGTATATTCCTATGATTTTAAGCCTGCAATGAATTGTTTTTGAAGAAACATCTGAAATATCATCTGAAATATCTGCTGAATTTGGTTTCTTCCCTGTGAGTACCAAGATGAAAGCACACAGCTTGTGCTAGCTATATTCCATCGGTTAAAATCTTATATTATTTCAATTCTTTATTTATTTGCTTCATTTGTGGTGGCAATCTTCTGTTGCTACGGGAAGTGTAGCTTACAGTTCTTGTTGACGCTAC